GAGCAGGGAGCCCGATGCGGGGCTCGATCCCAGGACCCTGGGATCATGACCTGAGCTGAAGGCAGATGCTCAATGACTGAGCCACCCAGGTGCCCCATTTTTTATATATTTTGTATTTTTATATTTACATATATATTCTGTATAAGAGTAAGGAATAGCCTGATGAAAGAAGAGCAAAAGGAGGCTAAAGATCTTTTACCTTGAGGCTATATTACCTTTGATCTGGGAGTAGTGAGATAAAGAAATCACTAAGTAACTGAATGCTTTATGAAGGGTCATATACCTCAATCACTAAAAAAAGCTGACACATATGAGGAGCAAACAAAAACAGACTGGATACTAAGTATGAACTGTTGAGGTGCACAACACACCTATCTGTAAGATGAAGACGTTGACCACTGGGGATGTTAAGCTGGTGTCTTTCATATGAGCAGTAAATTTCCATTTGAAGAAGAAAATCATTGGCTTCTCTAACCTTGACTTTCAGACTATGCTCTATAAATATATTTGAAGAAAACAGAAACTTAACTGAAGGGTTAGCATAACCTTCAGATGTTTTTAAAAATACATTACTCAATGGCACTAAAATAGTAATATTTGTTTATACCTTATGAGGGGAAAATCCTTTGTTACAGTATTCTGATTTAATATTTTCATCAAGCTAATAATTTCCACAGAATGTAATTTATAAAAGGGAGAAAATTAAGAGAAGTAGAAAATTACTTGTGGGGGGAGCACACATTTTTCTGTCTTTAAGAAAAAGTTTGTATTTCAATTAATTAAACATCATTGAACAGTGTATGCTGAGTAATAGTGGAATACTAAATAAAAATTATTAGGTACAGAATATATAATTATAATGTTTAATAATTTCTAACATAATTTATGTCTTTGGAACTTTTCTCTGCTATTTACAGGGGGAGGGGCAGGAGAGATAGGGTCAAGGCAGAAACAGGGAGATAAAGGGTGTGGTTCTGTGGCTTACAATACTCTCATTGACTAAGTGAGAGAGTAATACTGAATTGGGTGGTGGGCTGGAAGCAAAAGCTGCTTAAGGAATCTTACTGACTACTTGTGAGGCTCAGATCCTGAATCCCTACATTTTATTTATTTTTTAAAGATTTATTTATTTATTTGATAGAGAGAGAGACAGCGAGAGAGGGAACACAAGCAGGGGGAGTTGGAGAGGGAGAAGCAGGCCTCCCCTGAGCAGGGAGCCCGATGTGGGGCTCAATCCCAGGACCCTGGGATCATGACCTGAGCCAAAGGCAGATGCTTAAAGACTGAGCCACCCAGGCGCTCCCTGAATCCCTACATTTTAGAAAAGAAATACTTGACAGTGTTACTATTGTCATTTTTGGCCAGATAACTCTTTGTTGAGGGGGAGGAACCTGGGCATGTTAGCATGTTGAACAGCATCCCTAGCCTTTACCCACTGGATGCCAGTAGCAACTACTCTCCCCTCTCCTCCATCCACTTCCTAGAGACAACCAAAAATGTCCCCTGGGGAACAATGGTCCACAACAATCAGTGGGAGATGTTAAAGTGGTATATAAATGGATACTGTGTGTGGTCAAAACACCCCTTTAGGACCAAGAGCTTCATCCACTGGGAATATTAATTACTGATGGCTCCTAGTTGAGTTCCTCTTCAGGAACTGACTGGCCAGGCCAGGAGTGCTACTTACCCAAGAGTATGCCTCTTCCCAAGGCTAGCCCATGTCAGGTAACTGCTTGATGGGGGAAGAACAAAGGTACACCACCCCCTTGCCTTTCTATGGGACAACTATGAAGGACCATTCCTGCTCCAAAGTTCCTCAAAGATTTAGCTAAGGCCTCTGTACATGCACTGTAGTTCAACTTTTCCCTCTGCCCAATGCTGCTTTCTTCCTTTCCTTACAGATGGTTGTTCTCTAGAGCATTCCCCAATAACTGCCCACCCCCCAAATCTCTGCTTTAGTTTGTTTACTAGGAAATCCAACCAAGACAGGATAATAAAAAAAGTAAGTCCATTCTATTTGACAATATATGTGGTATTTATGTTTTAAGTGGAATTGGGTCATTTACTGGATAAGAGTAGAAAGATACAAAATGAATATAAGTTGAGAGGTGACGAAAATTGTTAAACATCCTGTGATTACAAATCCAAACTAAGATATTAATGGTACTAGGTAGAGAATTCATAATAACAGTCAATAATTTCTGGATACAAAGTGCCATGAACTATTCTATGTGCCTTATATATATAATCTGTGTAATCCTTTGAACTACCCTATAAAGTAGGAACTATTATTCTCATTTTACAGGTGAGGAAACTGAGGCTCAGAAAATTAAGTCCCTTGTCTAAGATCACAAAGCAAGTGGTGGAGCTAAAAATCAATTCCTGGTCCATCCAACTTCAGAGCTTATGTGCTCTAACTGGATTATGGCCACAGCCTCCTAAAAGGACTCCCACCCTCATTTTTATCCCCCTCTGAATCATTCTTAATATTATCACTAGAGAGAGGTTTCTAAACTATAATTGACCATGGCCTTTCCCAACTGAGAAGTCTTTTACCTTCTGAACTACTTAGCATAGCATTTACAAAGTCTTTCTTTCAAGATCTAACTCTTGACTATTTTTCTGGACTTATCTCTTGTCCCCAAAACAGAGCTCTGACGGTTCCCATAGATGCTTTCCAATACAGCTATGTAGATGTTTCTCTAAATATAAAGATGTTTTATTTATTTGCCTAACAAATAACAAGAGCTATTATTTATTGAGCTTGCTATATGCTAAGCCCAATACTAGATGCTTTACATTATACATCCATTATTGCATTTACTCCCTATGAAATAGTTACTATTATTCTCATTTTATAGTTGAGGAAGCTAAAGATCACCAAGGTTTGGTAACATCAAAACAAAATTAATGGCAGAGCTGGGATATGAACTTAAATCTGACTCTTGTACTTTAAAGGGATTTAGTAGATGTTTATCAAATTAAGTAGTTCCCCATCTTCTTCACTCCATTAACACCTATAATGCACAGATGTCCAAGGTGAAAATGTATACAGAAGCATTAAATGTCACAGATATCTGTTATTTAGAAACTGTTTTAAAACTTGTGTACCTACCTGCATGAGATCTTGAAGACTCTCAACAAAAGAAATCTCTGCTTCTACCATATAAAACTCTGCCAGGTGTCTCCGGCTCTGAGAATTCTCTGCTCGGAATGTTGGACCAAAGGTAAACACTTGAGTAAAAGCTCTGCAATTCAAGATTAAAAGTATAAAAATGGGATTCACATGATTACTTTTAAGTATTTAAAATATTCAGTGTACTCTTTTTTTTTTTTTTTTTAAGATTTTATTTATTTGAGAGAGAGAGAATGAGAGACAGAGAGCATGAGAGAAAGGAGGGTCAGAGGGAGAAGCAGACTCCCCGCTGAGCAGGGAGCCCGATGCGGGACTCGATCCCGGGACTCCAGGATCATGACCTGAGCTGAAGGCAGTCGCTTAACCAACTGAGCCACCCAGGCGCCCATAAAATACTCAGTGTACTCTCAAGAAAAAAAAGTTTTGTGCCTCTGTCTTGTCCACAAACGCGCACATTTAACTGCTACATATCTCTAATGGATGATAATAATAGTTTCATTAAAAATGTTATATTTATAGAAACCATTTTATCCCGAAGGAATCTGCAAATGCTTTGCAAACCCTATGGCTTACTAAATATAGAATTATAGCCACTTCTGGGTGCACTCTATTGCCTCTGTCTTAAACACAGGCAACTACATTTCACAGCATCAAGAACAAAGTATTGGAAAAACACCACAGCCCAACCATCTTCACAGAGAATCTATACAGTAACAGTTAAAACTAGAATTTCACGTGGATAAAGGATGCTAATTATTTTTTAAAATATGTGAAAAAAGGGTGTCAGATGTGTACAATGCCTTGTTTTGAAGTCTACTCAAGTCCTTCACAAACACCCAAGTGTTTCAATGAACGCTGTGACCCCTGAAACTTGGGGGTAAGGATGGATTTTGAAGAACTGTCTACTTTATTCTCTGGTGTTCAAGAGAATAGCTCATAGCTCAATAATCCCAATAGTGGGGGAAATTTTTACTTTTCAATTCCTGCAGAAAAGTGGACACTATACCTTCATTTTTCAAAACTTCTCATTTCCCTCATTTGGAATCAGAGCAACAACTGGGATTAGATCAAACATATGTGAAATAATGAGTATTTCCTGAGGACTATCTAATCTTTGAATTTTAAGGTTTTGTTAGAACCAAACAAGAGGTTTGGGGCTCCTCAGCTATTATCCCGAGCACTCTTCATTTGACTGGCATTAGTCAAAAAACATTAAGATCAGAAAATGAGATTGTGGATATATATACCAGTTGGGCTTTGTTTTGTTGTATTTTTAAGTAAAGATGCTCTGGGAAATGAAACAGTAAAACAATTATAATGGAAATCAAGAGATTTTTTTTTTCCCCCCAAAGGGCTATTTTAGTTAAGGCCTAGTTGGTAAGAAGCTTAGGAATTTATGTTTTGGTTCTACAGCCACCTTCGTGAGACCATAATCAGTTAACCTCTGAGAACCTTTAGTTTTTAATGGAAAAATAAACAGTAAGAACTCAGTGTATTACTATGGTAACCTCTCTGCTGAGATTCAGATCCAGACGTGTCTGCTAGAATGTTCCTGAAAACACTGACCCTATCTTATGCAAAATGAAAACCCTTGCCTGCTCCCAAAACAGACGAAAAACAGAACAAGGAACAATCCTTCCCTTCCTTTTTCACTTTCCTCAGTTCTATTAATTTCAGTTACTCTAGTCCATCACCCAAACTGGAACTCCCCCTGCCCACACTTCCCGTATCATATCCATCACAAAATCATATTGTTTACACCTACGAAAATGCTCTCAAATCTAGAGACACACCCCCTCCTTTTTTTCTTTTTTTTTAAATCTACACACAAACGGTCTTAGTGTAAACTTTTGTATCTTGGTTGGAGTATTACAACTTTTTACCTGGTGTCTGCCACTTGTCTTTCTTTCTCCACCCTAAACTATTATGAGCTTTCAAACTCAAGGCTGATTACATCAGCCATAATTCAAAAATTTTCAATGCTTTCCTACTGCTCAAATGATAAAATTCAAACTCCTAACTTTAACTCACTTTCCTTCATAAAGCCTTTTCTCTAGCTATGCTGAAGACACTCCCCTCACATAGCTTGCCAGGGCAAGCCTTTAGGCCTTTGCTAGGCTGTTCCCTGACTCTAACGACCATTCCTGGCTCCTCTTTCTCCAAATGGCAAATCCCCATCTATCCTTCAAGACTTGGCTCAAATGCCACTTTCTCTTTGTAACCTTACCATACACCCCCAAATTTACTGTTCCCTCCTTTACATGACTATGACATTTTGTTCATATATTCATTATATAGTACATATCACTTTGAAATGCAATTATATATGTATCCTTCTCCCCCAATAAACTATGAAATTTTCCAGAGCAGGAATCATGTTTTATTCATATTTACATCTCCAGTGCCTAAGATAAAACAGGTGTTCATGCTGAATGAATGAGTACTAATGATGATGACAGGCTTCCTCACTTGTAAACTGGAGAAGTACAGCATCCTCACAAACAGTAACATTACAAATAATATACAAAAAAATACTCAGATATTTTACTGTGGCTGTTACTTAGTACCTAAAATAGGTCAAACAATCTAGGTCTGTCCCAAACAATAAATTAAAAAATTATAAATTTCCAATCTGGGACTATGCAATCTCTAGGTAGGTTGGCAACAGTGTATCTACATAAATGAAATGAAATTTTTTTCTGGGACTGCATCACAAAAGATTATGTATACAGATGTTCACTAACAACAAAGGATATTTTTATTGAGATTTTCCTGGGCAAAAACAGAAACTAGGGGGCATAGGTGAAATTTACTTTGGGGGCTCTGAGGGAGACTTTCAAGAAATGGGCAATGATCTTAGATTGCTGTTCAAAAGAGACATATTATTCGTATTAAGATACCAGTTACAGAGAAAACAGTGGTTTCTAAAAAGAATTACACATTCAAGTCACAAGGGCATCTGCTTCTCACATGGCAATTCCATGTAGAGTGCTCAAAGATGAGTAGCAATAGGGATTTTTAATTTAACAATGGTTAATAATTTTTCCTAGCAATGCAGGATAAGCTCTCTAGTATAAAATAATAAAGAGGGTCAGATTTTTATTTTAATTATAATAAGGATTAGGCTCTGATTGAGATATCCAAGAGTTAAGTATTATTCTAATAGGGTAAGTAAAAACTGATGGCCATGGTGCTTTCTCTCAATTAACAGAAAGATAAAATGAACTGGAAGGTATGTTAAAGAAAACCGCCTAATTCAGCATCTGGTCTTTAAGCAGATGAATACTTAAATCATTTGAGAATGGATGTCCTATGCCAGTGCCCAGTGTTCTATGATAAAAGCAGGGACAGCAGCTGTAGTAACAGTGATGGTTGCTCCATCAGAAGTGCTCCTTGTGGGCCAGGCACTAGCTGGAAGAATCTCAAAGTTAACTCCTTTATAGTTAACTCAATAAAGTATGTATTGTTTCTTCTATTTTTCAGGCTAAGACATGGAAGGTCAGAGAGGTTGAGAAGCTTTCCCCAAAGTCACAGAGACGCAGCCCAGGAAGTGGTAGAGGCCAGATTTGAATCCAGATGTGACAGCCTTCATCATGATATGAAAATACTGATGTTCGTAACTGAACACTGACAAACCTGGAGAATTAGGAAGAAAACTTTGTAATGCACCACCAATGCTTCTCAAAGATAGCTAGGGTAAACAGTTTGGTATATTTACCTTCCTTATGAATAGCTTGTTTTATGTGTTAAAATTACAGCTCACTAGGGTATATTGCCTTCATGTAAATAAGGAGAATGATAAATCTTCATCAATATTTTATAACCTTGAGCAAGTCATTTAGCCTTTTTGGTCTTCAAATTCTTACTGAGTGGGAGACTGGGGCAGCTTGGCATTAATCTCTACTGTCTTTTACAACAATTTTGTTTCTAGGTCCATGTGAAATCGTTCTCATTTTAATTTATGCTGACTTCTTTTCTGTCTTCCACAGACATGAAAGCCATTTGCAGCAAGGCTTGGACTAACCAACATTTAAAATAAGATCTGAGAACAAGGCCACTTCTAAAATAAGATACAAAACCAGGTGAAAGGCCAGTACTGCTGTGAGGAGCGACCAGCAGAAAAAGAAAACACTCAGTACTAAAAAGCATTCTCGTGCCAGATTATGGAGAGGCGAGCTATATAAGGAAAGTCCATGAGCTTGGAGTAGATGTTTAAGATAACAAAAGTACATTTAATACACATCAACCAAGTTAACTACAAAAATGGCTCTTTAAAAATAAAAAATAAAGTTACTCCCCCAAAGTTCTACAAAGGTCATTTTCTTTCTTCTGTGGAGTTCTATGAAACCCTAAATTGGCAAGTGGATTATTATAAAATAGTCACTGATTGCTTGGCCATTTATTCTTTCTGGCCCTGAAATTCAAGAGCTAATCTTTATATTTCGAAAGAGTAGAGGAATTACTGTTCTTCAGCTGGGGAAGAACTTATTCAGCATAAGGTCAATCAGCAACTTTCCCTAAGGCCTGCACTCCCAACTTCCTATTACTTCTCTGTGGTCAGTTTAGTAAACATTCATTGAACTAAAGTGAACTCACAGCTTTAAACTAGTTTTTGCAACAGTCTTTCTTTGTCTAATGGTATTCCCATCTTTCAGAAAATAATCATATGTTTTACCAATGCTTTCAATCCACTGGATTATCAATACTGTTACATATTTGTCATTCATTATTTCTACAGAGTGGACTCCAGGCATCTCCTTTTCAGTTTTCCCCTATTCCTCTAACCATCCTGCAATACACTTGGCGGAAGGGGATAAGACATAGCTCTCACCATTTCAACAATTCATGTCAAGATGCCTTAGGGCGGATGCACTCTAAAACCTAAAAATTATTCTCTACCATCATTGCTAACCATCTCTGAAAAAATAATTTTCTTTAACATGTCCTAAATATTTGATCTGGAACTGAGTTTGAGGCCCAAACAAAATATAATCTTAACTGTATAATGAGATTCAAAGATCAGTAGTCTGACAACAATCCTGCTAAAGGAGTAGAGGGTTGGCTACTCTTCTCTGAGGAGATAAAATCTGAACTGGGGGAAGGACATTCCAG